AGATATTATATTGTGATTTTATTATATACTGATATCCTTAGCGAGTAACTCTGTGCATGTATATCAGCGTGTGCTCATAAAAAAGTTTTTTTTCCAGATACAAACTTTTTCTATTTCAAAAAATCAAGATTGAAATTATTGAAATCAGGGTTGTTGAACATCGTTCAAATGAGGCTACATACAGATTGAATATCTTGACTAGTATCTAGGATCTAGGATATGGTCTAAAGGATTGATCAGGCATCAGATCACATTTTTATCTGAGCATTTTAAAGCGGTTTAAAGCTTCTTAGACTTCGATCATTCTCAGACACGTGCTTTTGATTTGATTGTATTTTTAAAATGGATTGTGGACGTGCATAGGTTCGAGACTTATCATTTGGGTATCAAGACTTAAACAAAATAAATGCAAGACCTTTTATGATCCTAGATCAAACAAAGACAAGATTAAATCTAACTTGTACTATGAGTTTGATGCAAGAAATCAACCATAAAACAACGCTGATTAGAATTTGAAAAAAAAATTTCAGCGTGAGCATTGACTAGGTATGTAAATCTCGCGAGACAATCATGATGATGAATTATTACGCAATTTAAACAGATTGAGATTCAGAACAAAATTTCTTCTTTTTTCTATCCCCAGAAGAGATTTAAACTTTCATGTTAAGGCGAAATGAGATTTTTAATGCTTTCATGTTTCCTACAGCCTTTAAATTATTACTTTCTTTCTCCTTCACCAAACAAACAGAAAAGTTCATTTCATGAACATCAAAAGAATTCTTTTTATTATTCCTTCGGTACACAGATGAGCAACAATCCACAGAGAGTGATAAATATTGCTCATTTTATGTTGAAAATTTTTATTCTTTTTTATTTGCGATATTAATTTCTGCCATGTCAATTTTTGTGCTCTTGTTCTGACTGTAATGAGTTTGTTGAATCTGAATATAGCATCTGCGGTTAGTTGTGTGCTTAGATGATGAATAAATATTAATTTTTGAATTTTAATATGTGTCTGGACGTGAGAGTATGGTTTAAGGCATTCAAGTATTATTTTTTGGAATTGTTTGGATTTCAAAGATAATTGCTGATAATATTTTGATATTTCAAGATTTAGAGGCTTAAATATAAATTTATCCAGGTATGGGGATTAAAAAACTACTGGCTGTGTCCATTTTAAGATCAAAGACGTTACGTGTTTACATTAAAACATTCGTTTATTCACCTAAAGCACCTAAAACTAGCGAAAAAATTGATTATATCCAAAAATTTGACGCCATTAAGTTTCAAATTACAAAATCTATATGACAAAACGGACCAAGTAAACTTCCGTAATTTGGATTTTATATCCAACATTGACTCATAATAGAAAAATAATTCTCGCATTTTCATGATTACGTTAGGCTGCAAACGACTGCTATAAATGGCACAAATACAAAATTTAATTTTCGTAGCCATAAAGAATATTGATGGAAAAAGCAATAACAGCAGTCAATTGCTGTCAATATAATTTTTCTTGCTTAATAAAGCACTTGAAAAGTTAGTAAATTAAGTTGAGAGATTGACATGTCGGAGATTAGTGAAATTAATGATATTGCTGAGAATTGACGTGAGGATGGAAGTTCTAAACCTTTCTCTCATAATTTACTTGCGAACTCATAATTAAGAATGAGAGTTGAGGAATTAAAAGTAATTTTCACCCATCTGGTCTTGTCGTTAATTCCATTTTCTCACAAAATTTTTCATCAATCAAGATTATGTTCATTAATGATTTTCTACGTCTTGACTCTTCTTGTTCCTCTTTTGTTTTCATAACCGAGCAATAAACTTTGCGACTAAATAGTATAGCTTCAAGCAGTGTAGAACAATAACAAAAGAAACCATTGTGTTCAGCGTTCTCATATCCTTTATTAATTCTTAACATGTTAAGAGTATAATTTATGGATCAAAACAAATTAGCTTTTACTTCCATTCCATTTGTGTGTGAAAATAATGTGGTAAGGCATGAAATAAAATGTAAATTAGAAAAAAGAAATGGAACTTTGTGGTTTTGTGGATTGTATTCTTAAAAGGACTGCAAGGTAAGTCAGTTAAATTTAATTTCATGGGACATAAGCATTATCTTTTAAAACAGGGTTGAGCATTTAGTTGAATAATCGATCAAATGTGTGCGACCTATCATACCTAACCCTGGATGTTGATTTCTAAGAGCAACCTATTCTAGAATCAAAAATCGACACACTAGTTTTCTAAGATCCTCGGAAAGTTTCAGAACCATAAAGCAATAGACGATCGTAAGAATAAAGAATGTTGAGCATTTAACTAATTTATGAATTTATTCTAAGCTATTGTCACATAAAAGAGCGTTAAAACAAGAAATCACAAAAAAATCTTAGCTGAATAAAACTGTTGATCTCATTAATACTTTATTATGATAAGTAATAATCTCTTCATATTTTCTCCTCGATTGCTGATTATGGAATTTTTGAGTCTCTTCTTAATTCTCAGTTTTTCGAAATAATAAAATAAACCTTGCAAAGCTGTATGACATGCTGGATGAATTATTTTCTTCTTTGTTATTTTTAATTCCGTCACTTACGATAATTACTTGAGCAGAGCCATAGTAAGGGAGTTAGGGATTAAATTTTTTGTGTATAAGGATATCCAAAAACCCAGGAAATTAAAAAATTATCTTTTGGAGACGAGATTGAACTCAAGCATCTCGCAGCTATGTCGTAATTGTTAATTGAGGCTTTAACTTCGACCAACAAAAACAATTTCATTTCCTTTTTTGAGGAAATTAAATCACAAAATTTATGTCCGTGAAATAAGTTACTAAATTTTACGTTCGATAGCTAAGAACCTTTACCTTTACATTACTAATTTTATTGTGAATTTAAGGTGTTGCAGGAACATTTTGTCTTTTTATTGGATACCTTTCATAAATTGTCCCTTACAATTTGATTACTTACAGTTGAATTGCAATTTGTGACATGATTTTTCGGAGATTGGATATGGATTTATGAAATTGATTGGATATATTTTTTTTTGATATAACCTTTGGGAAGATGTGTGGGAAATTCTCTGAAGAGAGATATGATTTTACGGAGTCTGAAGGAATAAAAGTTTCATATCATTGATGAGTTTTTGGATATTCTTTGTATATTTTGGAAGGGTTCATTCATTTATGACGTCAATAATGTTAGGGGAAAGTAGCTCACTATAAAATCAATAAAAATCGTCAAATAACTCCTCTGACCTTGGAAACATCGACCATCACAAACACGATAAAGTAAAACAAATCCCTTCCAATTTGCCGCCATAAAAGTCCCACAATTTCACCGTGATAAACAGCAAATACCTCTCAATTTATCAAGAAAGCTCAGCGATCCATTCAAATATGAAAAATAGCTTCATAAACTTTCTCCCTGCATTACTATCTCCATCGTAACCTTTTACTTGTACTTACATTCTTATTTATTTCTCCATAATTTTTTTTCCTTAACGAAATCATTCAGTCATAAAAATTCCTTTATCGTTGCTTGATATTCAACCGTTTTTTTTTGTCTGGACATAATAAAAACGTTGGTTCTCGTCTTTATCAATCTCTGCCACTAGAATGAATTTTTCTTGCTGCAATACCATAGGGGCTGTTCACTTATTACGTAACGCGAAAAAATGACTTTTTAGACCCCCCCCCTCGTAACAAAATTTGAATGAAAAAAAAATTTCCTTGTTTGAACCGTAACAAAATCTTAGACCCCCCCCCCCCTCCCCCTAAAAGCGTTACGTAATAAGTGAATGGCCCCATAGATTAATTACGCGCTTACTGATGCATGAACTTCTTTGCCTTTCATATTTTATTGACTGCTTTATTTCGTTAAATAACTTTTAATAGATAATGTGCCTGACTAAATGAATAGTGTAACATTGCTTCGTTCTCGCTGTTTATTTTATCGGAAACTCACGATGTAGATGATAAATCTATTCTACTGTCGGCACAAACAAGCGCCAATCGCGAGAAAAAAAATAAATATTTTTACACGGTGCTTTAAGTTCTTTCCATATTTCATTTTACGCACTTTATGTGAATTTTTCGAATGTTTTGTATAGTGAGTAGTAAGCTGGAGGGGGAAATGGAATTGTGAGAAAAATTTACATAGATCAAAGCCGGTTCGATGTTCAGAAAATGTTTAACTTTAAAGAGGGGACGTTGAAAATTCTTCATAGTCTGGACAACGTAGAATATTAATGTTATGCTTAGTCTTATTTCCGATTGTATGATTCCTAGCTCTTTTTCCTGACTTTTTTTATAAAAAAGTTCAAAAAATCATTAAACAACCAAACATCAAGAGTCATAATACAGCTAATAGTGCTTATACGGTAAGAAAACACAGCTTCAAGTACGGAAATTCTTCACATCAACAAGAATCCTTTCATTAAAGCTACCATTCCCCAACATCACATAGAAATAAGAACTAGAAGAAGCGATAGAATGGAAATGAAAAAGGAAAAGTCACAAAGTGTTATGAAATATATGAAAGGAACCTTATAAATGTTTCATAAGTACGAAAATTTGTGTTACATTTGAGCACAATGTAGCTAGAATAGCTTATGTATTTCTGTTTGAATATTGAAAATATTAGAGGTTAAGGACTCAATAGCGATGAGCTTTTGCTTGCTTCATCGTCGTTTTGTGGAATGTCTTTTTGTCACTCACGTTTCAATTCTCTCGCTTTATTCACGTTTTGGAATGTTTCTCACTTATTGTTCTCTTTTTTACTTCCTTACTGTTTTTGTGATCAATTTGTGGTAGGACAAAAAAAAAGTGGAATTATATCATAGCCAGAATTAATGGTTTTTGAATTGAATGAACATTTTAAAATTAAAATCTAATTTAAATGATGTTGAGTGTGTGGAAAAAACCACAAAAACCTCATCATAGTGTGCATTGAATCGTCAACAATACAAAAGTTTCATTTTAATTAAAGAGATAAAATTTCATTTTGTAACAAATTTTTTGTGTGCCGAGAGAAAGAGAAGAACTCGATATGTGGAGATCTCAAAACCAGTGTGCAAGCAAAGAATCAAGCCTCAATTTGGGTAAAAAGAGTCTTTTTATCTGATTTTGATTTATTTATTCCTTAATCCATACGTGACATTTGCTAAAATGTTTCTCTTATTATTTCATCGTATAAAGATAAACTTAGGGGACAGCATGTTCAAGGATTGGATGTACATTGTATACCTCCATATGTTGGAAGATGCGTTGGTGAATGTGATGTGAGTAGAAAGAAATTAAATTTATAATTTTGATGGTTTGTTTGTTATATCTTTGTGGATATTGCTTTGTTGCTAGGATTAAGGATTACTGAAGGTTGATATTTTAATTGCTCTATATACTTCGAGCTCGTTGAGCTTCAACGCTTCATTTCTAAAACAATCCTACCTTACCCTTGCAGAAATTTACTAGTAATTCCCTAGTAATTTACTGGATAACTTTCTATTTGCTACTTGCTATTTACTAGTCAAAATTCAAGTCCAAATCTTCGCCAAAGACCCATATTTTCGCTTGCTAATTGACTAGCTAATTCGCTTACAATTTAACTAGTAATTTACTAGCAAATTTTTAAAAAATTTAAATGAATATAACCGTTGATTTCCACTTGTTCTTTTTTTTCTTATTTGTGTAAATTATTTTAAAAGTATTAGTGTGTCCTTAATTAAAGTACACTAACACTATGAAAAAAAATTAAAGTCTTAATTTAATTAAGTCGAACACTGATGAACGCCCATGACTCGCACGCAAACCTGAAAAAGATAAATAAATAATTGAAATCACATTCAAATTTGAATCAAGCTTATAAAGGTGATTTCTGCGTGCTCTTGTGAAATATATGGCAAATGCCAAATTTAGTACAAAATTTTTTATGACGCAAAAAATTCTTTTTTTGATAACTTTTCGTAAGATTCGAACTTAAGTAGATTTGATCAAACATTTCAAATGGTAATTTTAGTGTTTGAAATCTCACCAAAAAACTCGTGAGAAAATTTTTCTCAGAGAAAACTTGATTTGAAATCTCACGAGTTTTCAAATCTCGTGAGATTTTTATTCTCACTTCTCAATCTCAATTGTTTTCAAATCTCAATTTGTGACGTCACAAGGGAAATTTTTCAAAAAATTTGTATGAAATTTTTGAAAACAAAGGTTAATGGAAGTTTTTCTGCTATTTTTCTGACTGTGTTCCTCTTTTTGAATGATTCCTGTTTGATTTTTTCAAAAAATTATATTTTGAACATTTCTTTTCCAAATTAGAAGGTAACCTGATAACTTTTTGAGGATTCTTTAGAGCTATTGGGTTCCATAGGTTTTACAAAGCTACAAAAAATACCAAGAAGCAAGCAGGTAGCTTTAGAAATGCCCGAAATTTTTTCAAAATTTTGAAAATGGAATCAGAACCAAAAATTGTTCCGCAACTTTTAAAGTTAAATATAGTCTATTTCAATACATCCTTTACGATTGCATAGCATTTGTTTTAAATTTCAAACGAAAAAGGTCTCAACGGCTAGTTCCTCACACTCAGCAATGCTTAAAGAGATCAAAAAAGCATCCAGAGGCATTGAAGCTGTAAAATGATATACATTCAAAAAGACGAACACAGTCAATAGCAGAAAAACCCATTAATCTTTGTGTTCGAAAATTTCATACAAATTTTTTGAAAAATTTCCCTTGTGACGTCACAAATTGAGATTAAAAACCTCAATTGAGATTGAGAAGTGAGAAAAAAAATCTAATGAGATTTGAAAACTCGTGAGATTTCAAATCAAGTTTTCTCTGAGAAAATTTTTCTCACGAGTTTTTTGGTGAGATTTCGAACACTAGGTAATTTGCTAGTAATTTGCAATTTAATAGCAAGTGTAATTTATTAACAGTAAGTTGTTTTAATAATAACTAGTAAATTGCAAGTAGTAGAATAGAAAGACTATCAATTTGCTAGTTAGTCTGTAGCGGTGTTGGGGGTTCAATAAAGGAAAATGGTGTAATTTGAACTGGATTTATAACTCTTGGTTGTTCTGAATGAAAGTCTAGCTCTTTATATGGGTCGAAAATTTGAACTAATGGAATCACAATAGGTCGAAAGCTTTTTACAGATGAATCAAAAACTCTATAAACCGACAATGACTGCACTAATCTAGGGTTTTCACACGAAATTCTTCCAATGTGTAGTTCTAAATATATGAAATGTCTATGAAAAAGATCATGTGTCTGAAAACTCATGTGGTCTTCATTTATTCTTTAGTTACACCTTTGATCGATGTCTTAAAACCAATCAAAGAAAAATTAATTTTTAACCATTGAACAAAAATTTGCTTCCTTTCAATTTCTTTCGAGTCCTCTCCCCTAGTATTCACTATGCTGGTTCCTTTTATATACTTCCATCTCACATATTACTACATTCGCATGGTTGTAACTTTATAAAGAATCCTTTTTAGTTGCAAATCTTTTCATCTGTTTACCATCAATATCTGACAAATACGGCAAATTGTTTGTGATCGCTTTGATGATTTATAGCTTGATATGATGCAATGAAAAGCATTTTAGCATTATTGAATATTACAGAGCTTTGTGTCCTTGAATCATAAAGGTTCGATTATTTTGAAGTAAATCGATTTTGAGTAAATTTCTTGGAATATCTTGAGGTTATTTAATTGTATATGTACGTTTTGAATAATATTTTGTTAGGATGATGCTGGGATGAATTATTTATTGGGGTGGAATAGATCAGAGGTTTTTTAATTGAATGAGTAGTTCATGTGAATTGAAATGAGTTTGACTATTGTAGACATTTAATTGAATATTTAAACTTTTTTGTGGACAGTTCTGCAGATTTTTGACTATTTGCTAGCCCAAGCAGCATAACCTAGTTGCTAGGTTGGCAAAACATTGCTGAAATAATGACAAAACATTGTTGAATACCTGCTACCTATTAATAATAAAACTTTATGAAATCTGATTTACAACTCTAATTATTTAAGTCATGCTAAGCATTGCCAAACATCTTAAATTCATGATAGATGTCATTTTTGAATGACTCATAAGCCAAAAGCTACAATAAAACTAAACTTTGAACATTTTTAAAATCCAAAAGGCACCAAAATCAGTTCTAAGTTCAAGGCACAACTACACGAATTCTATGTCAACTCACATTAAAACTCAATCATCACAAGCACCATCCAAAATTTAATATTCCTTTAATTGCAAATTAATTTCCTTTCCACAGATATCAAAAAGTAAATATAAGTTTCCATTAACCCTTGTGCGACCCGATTACTCAAGCTATTCGCGTGATTTTCCCAAAACCATGCTTCCAACAGCACCGTCTTTACCGTACTCAAAGCACACGCCACCCCAGTGGATGGAAATAGACAATCCAGAGAAATACTTTAAATCAGGTTTGTAGTTGATACTCAATTGAAAATTATTTTTTGTGGGGCATGCACATTTTGCAGGCGTTGCTGCAATCGAAAAACTGTTGTTTTTTTTCTATTCTATTTGATATTGATCAAGCCATAGTCGCTTCGATTATTATTACCATTGTAACCTATATTTTATGTTTTCGGGCTTGCTCTCTCTTCAGCATTAACGAACTCAATCGTTAGAAGTGCTTCGGAATTTCTTTTCATTTCCCTTTGAAATTCCAATAGATGTTTTTATTTTTTGTGTGATGACAGAGGTGTCACATGGCACTGAATGTTTGAGAATTTAATTCAATTTTTTTTCCTCATGTAAGTGCAAGCTTTTGTGCATTCGGGAATGGATTTTTTTTCCTACGTCAAAGAGAATTTTTGAAGACATGCACTTGCATGTTTTATGAACATTTAGCTTAGTATGACACATCTGTAGATTGGCATTGAATGAACGATGAACTTTATGTTGAGAAATTTATTGCTGTAGGAAACTTTTGGTGTAGGTATGCATGGATAAGACGCATATTTCCAGTACACATTGATTGAAATTTAAGACAGTATACTGACTCAGGTGCTACGTTAAAAAGAAAAGCATTCGGTTCTTTGACTCCCAAATTTGGATCATATCCAACAAAGAACATTTAACCCTCTTCTAGCTACTCCTTAAAAGATCTGGCTTGGATATTAAGAGCTGGCTTGTAGGATTTCCTCTTTCAAATCAATAATTAATCAGTGTTGCTCAAACTTTTTTCGAATTGCTGCACACATGATGCCATTTTAATTCTATGATGACATACCAGAATCCCTTAAAATTTATTAAGCTGAATTTTTATTTGCATTTGGTTCATGTGTGCTGTGGCACACAGTTTGAGAAACACTGTATTACACTCAGGTTTACAAATGAAAATGCATTTTGAGTACGATAGATTCACAAAAATCAACCCTAAACAGCATATCAAGGTTTTTAGTCAAGTAGAGCAAGATCATGCAACTTGGTCCCCCTTTGTAATTGATTATTTTTGGTTTTATTCGAGAATCCATAGTAAAAGCTCTAATTAAACCTTACAATAACCTTGCTTCGTCTCAGACAAACTCTAAAATTTAACATACTGTTAACAAAATATTACCGAACCCCATCAGTCAAAATAAGCATAACATTTCAATTCATACACAAAATTCAGCTAAATACATAGACAAATTGGAAGTTTCTCATATTCCAAAAACAAAAATATTCTCTCCGCCTGTATGTCGATGAATTCCCTTTTCAACAATATTCATTCTTTTCAACAGTTTAGTGTAATTGCAATAGTTTTCGAAACTTTCCCGTCTTTTTTTTCCCTCCATCATTCGCGTAGATTCTGCAAAGGAAAGCACATATACAGGAAGTTTTTTTTTAATCAATCAAAGTGAATAACTATGTCTTATGCGACAAGTACGAGAGTGAAATTTCCTTTTTACATCACAACAAGATTTTAATTTAATTTATTTGCAGGATATACAGGAAATCAATTCTTTAAGTTCCCGCATTTCGGTCATACGAGCAAGGTAGATTCACATTCAGCCTTATGTGACTTTACAAGCGGCTATCAATTTACTAAAAGTGCTGAGTGGGCTCCTTTGCCATTTTATCACACATCGTTGGATGGCGAACGACCTGGAACTGAAATTTATCCACGAAATACTGGACTGATATCCAATTACATGGGCCACGTTCCAGGCATGAAATTGAGGTAAGAGTTATTGAAACTGCAGAAACCATTTAATTAATTAAATTTCATGTCCATTTATTATGCAGCTATGGCAAAACATTTGGAAATGAAAGCGTAAATGCAAAGAGATATCTCCAAAATTCTTCAGTTTGTCTTCACTGATGTGTGCCTGGATATATTATGCCGAATAAATAAATAATTATGTTTGCAAATTTAGTTCCAATATGCTGCATATCTCTCACATAACAACACGAAAGTTTATTTCAAAAATAGAACACATAAAATAATGAATAAATTGTTTCATAAAAAACTTTATGTCACGTGTTTCATTTGCTGTATAATGACAATGGCTGAGCATTGTAATGGTATGCAGTTCCAATTATTCAAACTGTCATTAAACTCGAAATGAGAATTTTAATGTTCACTCAATAATGAACTGATGAACAATGACAAAATGTGTCATTTTGTAGGATGATATGCGAGAATTTAAGTGATTAAATTACGTTTTATGGAAAATCACATCCAATGGTGCATATTTGCAGTCATTCCATCTTGATAACATTGTTTGAATGCATATTATGTATATGACTTATGACTTCTTTATTATTCAAAATGAACTAGATTAATAATGTGAAAGCTTCACAAATACAATGAGTAACTCCCTTAAATTTAATTCCACTCATCAATTTTATGACAGCTTAGACAATATTGATGATGTACATCAAAAATGTATATACCTTATTTATTTTGTCTGTGCATAATTCCATGTTCAATTTTCCAATAATCGGAACTTCAAGTTCTGTTGTATTTTGAAATGCGTGAAGCATTTGTAAATACATTTTTTGATCCTTTAAAGGCAGTTCGTACCACGGAAGTTCACACAATTCCCTCAGTAATTTCTCATTTTGTATGTTTATTACAGTTCCAAAAATGCATGGATTTACAGTCAGATAAGTGAAATTAATTATGAATGTAACTCCAAACATTACAGAGCTTAGTCTTATGTAGACGATAGTTAGAGCTATTGAAATTGTGTTGACTGACAAAGAGACAAAAACTGTCAATGCAAATAATTTTGTAGCTTTTTGGATGTAGTTATGATAGTCGTTGTACTCTTGAATTAATTCTTTGAGTTGCTTGCTTATTTTATCTTGCGGGACTTCTTTTTGTATATTTTGATATTCAGGTGTAAAGCTCCATCCACTAAAATCACATTTAGTACCAATTTGACCTACTTTTTGGGTTTTGAACAACACGTTGCTTGTGATTTCTCGAATTTTTATGAAAATAAATTCAGATCTTGGTATAACATGCAGGCATCGAATCAGGACATTTATATCCCCAATAATGCAGAACAAATAAGCTATTGTGACTAGGACTGACTGCAGAATCATGTTGATAAGAAACCCAAACCAATTTTTATGGTCCAAAATTGGCAAATAAACTGAAACCATCAACTTAAAATCCCAAAAGTAAACAGCATAGATCCACGTCATAATTACTGAGATGTGGTACATAAAGAAGCTCAAAATGATGTACAGCTTTAGCCAGAAGTATATAACTTTTAATTTTGAGCATAAAATTGTGTTAATTTCATCTGAAATTTCCTGTTTCTGTTGATAGAAAGCTTCAAGATTCTTATCAAGATCCTGATTTTGACCTTTTTCGTCAACAAAGAATCTCTGCAGGAAGCGAACAGTCATTTGAATTGTAAATGACATAATCATGATGTTTTCAATGATGTACGGAGTGCTGCATGAGTTATAATAGATTCCATTGGCAAGCATGATTCCTCCGATAAAACAAAGACCCAACAAAATCCTTAATCGTGGATGAACTAAATAGTCTGTGTCATTACCACTTGCAGCTGCCACTTTTCCTTTCAGAATTGAAATTTCTGCACAGCAAAATTATTGTAATAATGAAATTGAATTTTTAATTTTTATGGAAGCTACCTTTAAGTATATCAGTTGATTTCTCAGACATGTCAGACTGATTTGTAGGTTAGCACATAACTGTCTTTAGAAAGTAAGTTTGAAACTTAAATTTTGTTGAGTTTTTCAATTAATGTTCATTGAATATTGTAAAAAGTTTATTTAATTGTAGTTTCTGACCTAATTGTGGACTTACGTTGTAGTAAAGTTTTACAATAATTTTGAAGTAATTAGATAATTTTCTTTCGAACAAGCTTAAACATGTTTAAAGTTTTATTTTTAAATAAGTTTTTTGAAATTGAATGAAAAAGGAGAAACGAACGAATGAGACATGTGACCTGACAGAAAATCACCAAATTAGTCAAGTTGGGGATCATTCACTTTTAGCGTAAGTTTACATGCTTAGTTTAACAAGAATATACCAATTTATTCAGATAATTATTTAGTGCCATACATTTTCAACATTACGTCATTAAGTTAAATGGACATTTACATAAGATGTAAGAATATAATACTGAATAATTTGTTACAAATGCATTTTTACGACACATAATTCATTTGTCGGATAAGAGGATTATTAAACATCAAAATGGCATGTGCACTTCCGATTTTCTAAATTGTCATTGAACTACATTGTCCTCAAAATGAGGATTTTAATATTTATTTAATAATGAACTGACGAGCATTAACAAATGATGCTGCTCAATTTAATGACATGTGATGACGTCGGATATGTGCCTAACATTATCATTGTTGTACATTTTGAATCAACATTTCCTATTTGAATTTTACTAATTTAATAAGTGATGCAATTAAATGAGAATTTCAGGATATAATCGTACACATGCTTACTGCAAATATTAATCCGTGATAATTTATTTAATGAATTTGATTTAATTCCAACCTAAACAAAGCTGATGATGTACCTTAATTCTATGTTAAATTTTTCAATAAACGGAACTTCAATTTCTGTTGTATTTTGGAATGCGTGAAGCATTTATAAGTAAATTTTTTGATCCAAAAACGGCAGTTCGTATCATGGAAATTCATCAAGCTTTGTCAATAACTTCTCATTTTGATTACTCATGATGCTTCCAAAAATGCATATATTTGCAGTCTAATAAGAAAAATTAATTGTAAATTTAACTTCAATCATGACTGAGTGCAATCAGATGTTGACAATTGCTAGAGCAATAGTAATCACATTTACGGACAGAGAAACGAACACAATTAAGGAAAATATGGACACTGTCATTTTGATGTACTCATTGTAGTAATTATATTTTTTAATTAAATTTCTAAGCTAGTCGCTTATGAAGCCTGCATTCTCTATGATTTGTTTTGCTGTAGAACCATTGTTTGAAGAAGCTTTAATTGGATTCCATTTAGACTTCCCTTCCAAAATAAACTTTTGTGATCTCAAGTTACTTTCAGTTTCTCGGATTTTAATCATAATGTTCTCAGATCTCGACATAACATCAAGGCACATGCTTATGACATTGACATGACCAATAAGATAGCAAACATTAGTTTGTTGTATCATATTCACAAAATATCCATCAAAAGCTCTACGATCCATTCGAGGCAAATAAATAGTAAGATCTAAATCAATGTCTTAAGAGCATCGGGTTCAAGTCTTAGAAAATCAATATCTAGTTTCTCTCTATTTTCCTTTTAAGTATTTCAGTTGATTTCTTCGTCATGCCTTCTTAACTTCCTATTTTTCTTACAACTGAATTGAATTTTCTTAATGAGCTTCAATTTCAAAGAGTATGAGCTATAATTATTGATAATTGCAATGGTAATGAATTTTAGTTCCTGAAGAATATAATTATAACTCTCTAAATTGTTTGTAATTAAACTATAAATTTAATTAACTGTTGCTTTTGCTTCCTGTTGAGTTTTCGGAGACAATTACGAAAGTTTTAATTAAGTTCAAGCATGACATCACAGATAATGGAATTTTTATTTAAATTTTAGCAGAGTAACGAGATGGGTCTGAACTCAGACATGAAATTAAAATTTATTAATATAAATTAAGGAACTCTGTTAAAAATTAAAAGGGTTCATGATTAGATTTTTCTTGGTTGAAAGTTTGGACTAAGGCAGAGGCAGGTTTCTAGGGCCATCCGGGGGACTCAACCTTAATCTTTGCCTCAGAAAGTAGAACATCGATTTTTGATTCTAGAGTAAATGCTCTTTAGCTTCAAATTAAGCGGAGCAGCAGAAAAATTTGACACAAATTTAATTCACTTTCACAAACAAAATGAAATGGAGCCAGAAGAATTCATGAATGCATAAAAGAGCTTTAAGGGCGACAGAGCATAAAAATATTTTGATCACATCCATTTTCATTGAAAAAACTTTATCTTCGTGACATTTTTTCACATTAAAATGGTGAAAATGAATTCTATGTGCCATTGAAATACATCCCATAACAACAAATAAATCCTTTACATTCACAAAATGATTTTTCCATGCACGAAAATTGAGAGCTTTTAATGGGTTTGCGTGACTACTCGAAGTGAAGATTTAATTTTATTTTGAATTGATATAAGTATGGCAAAAAATACTTATTATGATAATTTAATGAAGTTTAAAATTTGATTCTTATTGCTAAACGAATGGAGCTGTTCACTTATTACGTAACGCGAAAAAATGACTTCTTAGACCCCCCCCCCCCCCCCTCGTAACAAAATTTGTATGCAAAAAAAAATTTCCTTGTTTGAATCGTAACAAAATCTTAGACCCCCCCCCCCCTCCCCCTAAAAGCGTTACGTAATAAGTGAATGGCCCCAATAGTTTGGTGATGGAAAGGGGTTGCTAACAAACTAGGGAGTTGATTGGGTGGTAAATAACTTAAATCTTCAGACAAATTAGAAGTCAAACCCCACTACAAACTTTTACAGCAAAGTTAAACTCAAAATTTTTTATTACTTTTCGAAGTTGAAACCTTCAGAAACTTTAAACCTTGCTTACATTTGCTTCAGGCTTTAACCCACTCAATGTTCCATAATAGATTTTCTTTCGCAAGTTCAAGTCTTGCTGTCAAGCATTTTCACACACAAAAAAGAACAAATAAGGAGCATAAAACTTGTTCGTTTCTCTATAAAAAACATTGAATACCTTTTTTATTGCTAAATCATTGTAGACAAGAAGGTATATGTGTTGGAAGCCCTTCCATGAAATGAAAAAAAAAACTTTTTTGTTAATTGAAAATCGTTCACATGGGTAAGTTCTATAAAAGGAAATTGGACACGATGAAAAATGTTTGTATGTAAATTTTTGTTGTGCAGCTCTTGCTTCTAATTGATGCTGTAGCTTTAGTATTTAGTAAATTTTATTAGCTACAAGGACGTTCTCAGAAGGTATAATCAATCCATTTAAAATAACGGCTTAGAAATTTCATTTTAAAAATCTAAATTACGTGTTCCTTGCCACACCATTGACTGTTTCCATTCATTTGAACCAAAAATGAGAAACAGACTTGAGTCATTTTTAAGCTCTGCCCCAATCAAGTTTTAGCAACTTCATTGTCAGGAGCATCTCAAATTTTAACAAGCAATCCCTTAAATCAGTCAATATTCTTTATCAAATAACTGAATACAAGGCGTAAAAACTATCCCATTTATCCCATATATCTTAAAAATATTCAAAAAATTCCTGAGCATGTATGCACGAAAATAAAGATATCCCAACGTTTCCTTAGTGTTTTAGACGTGTAATTTAAGGATGTGATGGGATTTCTCAATTCTAATGCATACAGGCTCAGGGATTATTTTGAATATTTTTGGGATATATGGGATAAATGGGAAATTTGGGATAGTTTCTACGCCTTGCTGAATATAAAATGTTGGGTTATAAACCATCCAGACCAAATATTAATCCCCTTCGTTATTTTAAATGCTGTAAAAAAATAAATGAAAAATTGCAAACTCACCCGAGTGTTCTTGAAAAATGAATTAGCGCTGCTGTTAAGGCATGTCTATCCGCTGGCAAATCACTCCCAGGTGAACTTTTAAACAGCCCTAAATGTTGCTCCCATCGACCCGATTGACCTGTTGATGTTTTTCTGCTATCCGACGATTGCACGCCTGCACATGAAGGAAGGAAAAAAAATTAAAGTTTAAAGTAAAGTTTTGCTTCCTTACTCGAATATCTCTTTGCAAACATCAATCAGCAAGCACACAGCAAAGCAATAACAACAAAAAGAGGAAGGGAAAAGGCTAAGATAAGGAAATTAATGATGAATGATAGATAGGATGACTTGCAAAAATGTCAATTATCTTTACTCTATAATTTCTTTCATAACGTCTACACTTATGACTATGATGAGAGCTTCATTGTTTACACATTCATTAGATATTTAAATAAAAAACAATATAAATTTCATTTTCGTGTCAGAATGTAACATGCTCATGCTGTTCTCATAAAAAATTCTCTTTATGTTATAAATAAAATGATCTTGTAATAACATCATACGCGAGCGCTTTAACTGCCTTTTTTAAAGCTTCGTGGTAAACCAAAAGAAATGAGGAGAAAGAGGGATGAATTTAAGGTAGAGCTTTAAGGCAGTGTTGATGATTTGTGACTAGAAGTGAAAGGAGTGATGAATTTAAGACTTTTGAACCTTTATTAATGCCAAAGCAACAGTTTAAGGTTAGGAGATTTACTAATAAATTAAGTATACTAAGTTCAATTCTTAAACTCTAGACATCTGAGGTCTTGATTTAGAAGTCATTTTAAAGGTTAATTGATTCTAAAGACAATTGCCACAACAGGTAGCCCTTGAAACCGACTCCTAGGTTACTTGTTTTACAGTAACAACATTTCAACAACATTTCCTTAAAAAACCAGATCACCAACCCTGCTTTATCCTCAAACATAATCAAAACCCATCAAGATTGACATGTGAAAAAGGTTAAATATTCTTCATGAAAATCATATAGGAAGCCAAAATAGCTTTTTTTTCTCTATCCATCCATCAATCAAGGATGGATTTTTTTTTGAATCAACAAGAAGAAGCGAGAAAAAAAATCATTCGAGAATCAACACGTTGATGATGAAAATGTTGATAATTCAATGCTGCTGTTGACTTTTTTCTCTCCTTTCATTTTTTTGTGCTGAAATATTTTTTTTGACTTCTTCGAAGCTATTTTTGAAAGATTTTGTACTTAAGACTTGGTTTGAAAATGAATATAAAAAGTTGTTGGAATTTCCCACATATGGGTAGATCTCAAATGATTTCTACTTAAAATGGATCCTCTGTCTCAAAATTTGCCCAAAGCTCGTAGTCGACTAAAGTCAATTTAATATTTTAAAGTCGATTCCTAATCATTTTAAGTCGCATTGGTTGTTTTTCTTCTTCAAAACATTTACTTCAAGTCAATTGCAATCCGAGTCAACTCCAGCTAGAGTAACTATGTTTCACAACTTCCGTTTCTCGAAAAAGTTTGACATCATTTATAAACGACTCAATACCTTTTCCAGAAGAATTGATTCCAAAGCATCAACTCAGCAAAAACTTATCACATCCAACGCAATTCGAATAACGCACCACTAAAAAATTACAAAAGTCCTCGTGTTATTGATCTAGGGACTTCAGCGCATTTTTGACGCAGCGATCAGTATTTGATTATCTAATTATTTTGCGTTCGTTTACAGATCATTAGAAGTTTAGAAGATTATTCATTTGAGTGTAATTACCAAATAATTATAGTGAATGCTAATATAGAAAGGCTTTATTATTTAACGGTCAATAAATAATTTGAAATTTTTCCCGCTAAAAGTTGCACTGCAAAAACATCAACTATAGTATAATTAATAATTTGTTGCAATGAATTTCCATACAGAAAAAGTTTATCATTTAACGGTTTTTTGAAATTCAAATTTTGCAACGGCTAGAAAAAATTTGAAATTATAGAGGTAATGCTGAATTTTTTAAACGTACTCATCACGTGGTTTTTTTTATGAAATAAAAAAATCATTAATTATAGTACAAATACACTGTTTTAAGACTTTTAACTGTTCGATCGGACAATATACAATAGTAACGGAGCTAATAAAACAAACCTGAGCTCTCTGCGATGTCTGCTTAAAAAGTTTTTCTTGAGACGAACGAACGAACGAACGAACATTTCGCATTATTAAGCTCCCTTTTTGTATAAAAATATTACAATATCTCCACATACACTCAATATCTACAAAACTACTCAAAACAAAATAAGGAAATTAAAAGGGAATCTAAAGACATAGAAAATGATGTCATCAAAAAACTCTTAACAAGATAACAACAGCAATTCAATATAAAGCAGTGCTTTTTGAACATAATCAATCATATCAGATGAGCATTTTATCGAGTTTCATGATAAAGAAAAATTGAGACAAAAATGAATACATATAATAAAGGAAGAGGAAAAGCCGAAAGGAGCAAAAAAGAGAACGAGAAGATAAAATTGAATTCATTACAGATAATAAGAAAATGTTTAAGCGGAAATTGAAAGGAGATTGCTTTTAATTATATTAAATTGTAAAGTAATTTCCATTGGGGATGTTTCACCAATGACGGTTGTTAATTTTAAAATATTTGGAATAGTTCCTGTAGCCATTTGTGACACAAAATGTTCATTAAAGCTTTTTTGCTGATAGCCATTCTTTAAATGATGCATCTGAAGTTTTTATGGACACACAATTATGTTGTGAAGCATATTTGGAGTAGCTAATGGACTGGCAAAAGGTATTAGCTCTAGAAATAATTAAAAAATAACAAAATATCTGATACAATTGTTGCTAAAGATTATTCAAAGCATCCCTTTTGTTGGAGCAACAAGAACCAAGTTAAGGTGACATCATTTTTGAATATCCCTGTGTAAAAGCTTCTCAGTATCGCTTAACGATGCCTTAGACAAGAAGTATCACTTTAAATATTACTCCTCATTTATTTAAAGATTTTTCATGCCATTTCCATTCTTATCTTTATGCTTTTCCGCTACTTTGAGTCATTCTACTTAAATCTTTCAACAACAAGACACTCCTGATGATAATATGGTCTCTGGCTCTTTATGTAAATAATTTATTATGTTCATGATTTGGATCCTCCTTGACTAAGAGAGAGGAAAGGCATTTTAACATGAAATGATGAAAAAGGCAGACAAGTGCGCAAGATGATAACAAAGAATTGAAAATTTACATGATTTTGTTGTGTTCGGTCTAGTTAAAGAGTCTTTGCATGTACTGAAATTTTGTGTGAGCTATTAAAAACAATGAGTAGTCTTTATTAAGTTACTGATTCTTATGAAATTGTTTGAAGGTTGTTTGCTTAATAGCTGAATATTAATATTTTATTAAAGTAAAATAAAGGAAAGCTCGTCATCATGAATGTTTATTCAATCTCTTCCAAAAAACCTTGATATGTACATACCAAGTGCTAATAAAATTCATGAATTGAAACAAACTCAATCACATGTCATAAATATCTAAAATTCTTTATCCTCGAGCATTTCATAAATTTTTGATTTTACGACATTCGCATTTCCATCCAAAACATTTTAAGAATTTCTTTAGAATTTATGAATTTTCAATACACGCATCTACATTTTATAGACGAGAACCTTTACAAACATTTCGAGCATAAATGTGAAAATAATTCAAAAAGAAAGATCATTTTGAAATATTTTATGCCTTTTTTTCTTCTTCCCAGTTTCTGAACAAGCCAAATAATAGAGAATGAATAATTCACAAGTGCCATTGAGAAGCAGTTTTGTGTGAATTACGAAAAAAAGAATATTATTTGAATTGCAAGAAGGATCTGACAGAAATGTCAATAGCTATTGTAGACTGAATCCTGTTCAATATCTCACATATATAGGAATAACTTGCTTATTGTTCAATTTTGAAAATGAGAACAAACAGGATGAGATGAAAAAGTTCTCTGACATTCCTTTTGTGTTTGCTATTTGCTGTATAAAAACTTGTTTGCTTCATCCTTTTTTATTATTTTTAAAGGAGCATTAAAATAGGAGAAAGATGGGAATAATGTGGAAACGACATTAATAAAAAGCTCCATATGGAATTGCTTTTTATGGAGGTCATTCAACTAAATGAAAACGAATGCTCTGATAAACATGAGATGATAATGTAAGTTGAAGGGGTTCAGTATAGCTGATTTTTTGCAATTGTTTCAGAACTTGTACTCAAACTCATCAGAATTCAGAATCTCCAACAAGAAGTTTTTAATCAAATTTTTAAAAATAATGTTCAAAAATTATTTGAAAATCAATGTCAAAAATCAATAAAATCTACAAAATCTCAAAGGTATCGTTCACTTATGACGTCCGATATTAACGGTCATTTTTCAAAAAAGAACAATTGAATTCCAGGAATTTCTATTGTTCTTTTTTTCTGATCCCCCCCCCCCTCTGGACGTCATAAGTGAACGGTTCCAAAGATGCCAAACCCTTTCACAAACATAGCAAACCATATCTTACAGTTTTGATGATGCTCTACATTAAAGAAAATATATTATCTAAGCTACAACTATATATAAATGGATGTAAAATGATCACAATGTAATGTATATGTTAACTTTTTGTAATCTGTCATTTAGTAAGACTATGCTGTATAATCAGTCTAACGTAGTTTTTCAAATAATTCCCAAATGACTTTTTAAATGAACCTTATTTCTTGTTTGCTAAGCATAACAAAAAAGGAGGTTGGAATAAAAAGGTTTCGAGGCATTTTGTTGGCAACTAAACAATTCTTACAACAATTTTAATGTAAATTATTGAGATTAAAAGGAAAAGCATTAAGCAATAGAAGAGAAAGAGGAAAAAATAATGTTGAGTGTTCTTACGAAAAACTTTCTTACTCGTCGTTGTCCGTCGACTTCCTGGGCCACTATTGCGACCCCTTGAATTCGTACTTAATTTAAAGCGTGCTGGAACAACCTTTGCTGCTGAATCGCGAGCCTCAAATGTCATAACACACGATGCTACCACGATGAAGCCTTTTGGATGTGGAAAAAGAGAAGAAAAAGTTAATTATTCAAAAAAGTTATTAAAAATTATTTTGGTCTGGATTATAATGAGGATATTTATGGTTTTTTTCTGTATGTAGGCTGCTTAACTTCTCGTGTAAGATTCGAGGAAGGATTATTCATGCTGATTATGATGGAGGTGGGTGTGTTTTTACTTTTCAGAAAGTTTTTTGGTTGAAATTTCAAAAATGGATGGGAAACATTTAGAGGAATAAAAGATTGGGAAAGATTGACTTTAAAGGCGTCCTGGCTACGCCTCTTAGATTTAGCATGATTGCTCATTATGATATGAAGTGCAATTCTTTCACAATTCAGTGATTCACCATTTAACATTATAACATGATGAAGCCTATAAAAAAAAGTAATCCCAGATGTCATACAGGAAATGAGTTTATAATCTTTCAACATCATTCAAATTACTCATTTTTTCGTATCCTCATTCTTAAACTTTGTAATAAATTATTTTTTGAAAGCACTAAGGAAATTCATTTAACGACTTTGTCAAGCTTCAAAATATTCCTATGATAATAAACTGCTAGGTTGATGCTCTTGATATTGATGACTATACACAGTCTCTAATAATCATAGAATTAAGGTCTTAAAATCTAGATCCAGTGAGATTAATTTAGCTGCTTCTTTTTTCTAGCCTTTTCATGTGAGTTAATACTATTAAGAGTAATTAACAGCTTTTGTGCTTGTTGTGAAGTGAAAAATTTATCGGCTTTTCATAGGAAATGTAATTTTTGAAGGATTTGCTGATGCCTTCGTGTTGGTGGAGCTTAATTTTGGTTAATATGAGACGAAATTTCGTGTAACTAGAGTTTAATGTTTTAAATTGACTTCAGTTTTTCTAAAAATTCAAATAAACTTTAATCTACAAATTGCGTTCACAACCAACATTCTGTAAAAGTGATGCACAAGCAGTCTTGCAGCAAAAAAAAACTCATTTAATGTAAAATAATACAAATGAGGTCATAAATTTCAACAAAGAAAAATGTCACTGAAGAAAATGATGGAAAAGCTTTTAGAGAAATAAGAGTTGAAGACATATACATTTATTAAGGTCACACATTAAAGACTTTGAATGCTTTGTTGAAGTTGAAATCTTTAAAACGGAAAAATACTGAACAACTCTAGAAATTGTAACTTGCTTCTAATTTTAAAGCTACAACATCAATTTTAGTCGTACAAACAATGAAAAGTTAATCTTGAGAACTTCTAGAAGAAGCTTATGAATTGTTAAATCTTCTCTTGTAACCAAAATAATAATATTCATTTCTGTGCATCCACAGCAACCATCAAAATTCAAGTAAAGCTATCTCTTAAAATTAAATTCTAAAAGCTTTTAACTTGGTAAGCACCACAGAAATTATTAAATCCCAGGATAATTTGTAAAGCTAGATAGCATATCTGCTAAACACAGTGACGGAATCAAAATTTCGGGAGAAACAGTCCATAGAGTGAAGTCTTTACCACCAAATCTTGTTACGCCACTGCCTCATCATATTAAATTATCACATCTATGCATATTATAAATGCCTGCACGATTCAGACAGCTCACATATTTAAAGTTAATAATATAAATACCTCATATGGGATACTGAGAGAATGAAGACTGAGCTGAATGAAGCTTTTTACCATTGCATTACTATTGAGCTGTAAAGGCAGTAATAGCAGTAAAAATCATAATAATGAGAGTGAATGAGGAAGGAAAACTGTTCAAACATCATCAACTGGAAAAAGTTTTTTTTTTACTTCTCTGTCATAAACTTTATTCATCAAAATATATATGCTAGAATATTCATTACTGCAATTGCAGCAAGCTATAAGCGTAAACATTTTGTGCTTCTATGGAAAAAATGTCAAGGATTTAAAAAATTATTTTTAAAGGCACGTAGACAGCAGTAGGGGTTAGAAAGAAACTTCTTAACCATCAAGTCTTTCTTAAAATATTATATAGCTATGCTACTGATTGTTATCAAGGACATAGTCCATATTAGACGGTTCTAGGTTCAACTACCCTTGAAAAATCACAAACTACATTACTGCCCCTAAAATTCTTAATCTATGCGATATAAACATTTCCTATTGCTGTTCATTTGAGGATATGGCATGTCCAATTTTTCATACATGTAATTTTTTACATTAAAGCTCCTCTTTTATCCTTTCTTCCATAACGAACATGAAAAGTCACGCGATTTATGAGAAAATAAAGAATCTTTTTTTTTGTACTCAAGCTTTCTATGCTGATTTATGACTTTCAATCTGCTTTATATCCAACTGTTTTCTACGTGACAACTCTATTACTTCTGACTTGACAATAAATTCGATGAAATGATGACGAACGTTGCGAATTTATTGCAAAACTTGGAGGAATTTTTTCTTGGTACTTTTATTGTTTTGAGTCAGTTGTAAGATCTGGTTGTAAATCATTAAGGTTTTATGTATTTTCTTGAAGATGTATTTGATTGGGTTGCTTCAATCATTTGAGACCTTCTAGTTCAAAGTACCCATTACATTTCAACCGATAGCTTAAACATGAATTCTGCTTAGAAAATTCACATTCTACTGCCCAAGAAAAAGTCAACCCTGATCACATAAAAGCACAATATCTTATTTCCACTGAAAAATATGAAGTACATGAAAAAGCATTATGGATTTTCATCATGCTAACAATAAAAATCGATTTCCTTATACTTAGCGTTCATTTTCTAAATCTCATGTTTTTGAATTGTGAACTCATCCGCAATAATAATAAATATTACACAACTTAATGGATGAAGGATGTTCGAATAATAAAATCTAAATCTATTAGGGATTGGCAGCACATCCCATCCTTCACATGCCATTATCATGCATTTTATGAATTATATGTGAAAAAATTTTATGTATGCATTTATTCTTGGAGTTGATTTACTGCTATAAAGTCAATTATCATAGTGAGAATTCTTCATTTTAAACCACAAACAGGATGCATAATGTTGCATCATCGGCAGAAGGAAGTTTATTCCACATAATTCATATAGAAATTACCATCATCAGCAAGATAATACAAAAAAATTGTGCTGCTTATTTTTCATACTAAAAAGCTCTGAGCTGTAAAAAGTTTTTTAAAACAAAAGCCAAGGGGGATAACAATATGTTGGGAAAATGTTGTGATTGGAAATGTTCATCAATTTACCAATCTTCTTTAAATTATAAAGATTGATGAAAATTTCATATCAAAACCTTTCCTCATCAAGTTGTTATCCCCCTTGGCAAAAGCACACCGAGAACAATAAAGTAGAAAATAATTTACCTCCAACGCCCATAATAATAGGTCCCAGATAGGATAAATTATTTAAGTGCAATCCTCGCTGCTCATTTTTAACACGAATTGTTGTATTGTGTCGAAATTCACCTAGTGCAAAATCTTGTGAATAGTAGCCAATTGTGGCCATTGAAGCTCCAATTACCATCAGTAAAATTCCAACCATCAATGCTCGACATGCATGCCATAAACATCTCGTACTCATTTTTCCACGTACAACTTGAACATTCCATGTCGCACCCGATGCTGGACAGGCGCGTCTCAATGGACCTGAAGTCTCTCGTCTCGTTTGTTGCTTCCATTGTGAACCGCCTCGTACATGCATTCCCATTAATGTTTAAATAGAACTTTTGCTTCTCCTTTAATTATTATTGTTTGTCTGTTGACTTTTACTTCCAAAGTCTACGTCGTCGTCTGTTTACTATCCTATAAAATGTTAACATTGAGATTATCTGTGAACGGGAAAAAAAGAGGAGGAAGGAAAATTTATTTTTAGTGAGGAACAATGGAAAAAGTTTATCATTCATTTAATATGAAAAATTATTGTGTTAATTGACTTTAGTCATTCATTAATGGTCGCTGTGTGGCTTTTTGCAATGAATATCTTTAGCAACAACTGTGTAATAGCTGACAGCTGTGAAGAAAAAGTTGCTTGGGGGCCGTTGACTTATTACGTTACACAAAAAACGACTTTTTTCACCCCCCCTCCCCCCCTTGTTACAATATGTTACAACTCACCCAACCCCCCCCCCCCCTGAACGTTCAAAATTTTAAGCAGTTATTAAGAACATTTAAATTTTCATTAAAAAGGTGGAAAATTTAAAAAATGTTTTTGGTGTGAATTTGTAAACAAATTTTTTTCGAAATTTCCCCCCCCCCCCCCCCCCCCCCCCCAATGCGAACGTAATAAGTGAACGGCCACATGTGATTTTAATTTTAATTATTTTTTCACTCGCGATTTCTTGTTTTTAAAAGAGTTAATTGCTAGTATTTAAATGCCACAAGCTTTACTTAGCTACTGCCAGCATTACATACATATTTCTTGTATTAAGTCCCAAAGCTTCCATTCAGCTTTAGATCAACCCTGCATTATGTAAATTTATGTGTAAAAGATTGATCTATCCAATTTTTATATGAACTGGTTTGAATTGATTATCACCAGAATCAACTTTGATGATACAAAGAACCACCATTTCAAGGATGTATAGATACCATCCAAAAAAAAAATTCGCACATCATTACCACTCGAAGAAAATTTGCTTTACCAAATCTTCCATCTAAAAGCTCTTCAAAACTTTTCATTCCATTGCTATTCAGCTACAAAAAGAGAATCATTGAAGAGAAAAAAAACGGAGATGAAAAAAAGCGGGGAGTTGAAACATGCGGAAAGGAAAAAACAAATGAAAGAATAAAATTAAAGAGAACGTGAGATGGTTAGCTAATTAAGAAGGAAGCAAGTCATGCCTTGAGCGTCGACGTTACAAAATTAAATGCCTCTTTGTATTCTTTCTTTAAGCTGGCATTTCATTTGATATGTTAAACGAAACAAAAGTGGCAAGTTGGGGAAGTTGAAGCTTGGGGTCAGTAATAAAATGAGGTCACATTTGAGACATAGGTAGAATTTTCTTGTATGGATGAAAAGTTGAAGGGTGGATTTTGAGATTTTTTCCCCCAAAAACTCATCTCCTAATTAAGGTACCACAAACTTATGGACCCTAATAACCTCACATGGCTATGCCGCTGGTGTGATGATTTACAAGCTCAAGATCCCACTGCTATAAAAATTAAACATCATTTGTGAACAACAATTTTCGTTTTTAAAGTGAAGAAGGCTTTCCATATGTAAAAGTTTAGCTGTTTTTGTTCTTATAAGTATGTCATTAGCATCGTCATCATCGTTATTACACGTTGGTTTTTCGCTTACATTGTATGACAACCAGCATACAACAAATATTAAGTTAGTTTTCTCTTTGATGTAGAAAATTATCATTCTCGTTTTTAAGCTTAAACAAACATTAGATCATGCCGAGCAGTACAACAAAGAATGTATCTATTGTGGCGTTGTGTCGGATGCATAAATAGAATAAGCTTGAATCAGCTGGCAAAAAGTCACACTTGGTCGAATTATGGTAATATTCAAAATTGTTCCACTCTGGAATATTCCTAGTGGACACAAAACTTAATTTTAAAACTATTCGGAAGACAAAGTTGACTCAAAATTCATATAAAATCCATTTAGACTTTGTGCCGTTCGGGCATGTCTAAACACAAGAGAACGAAGTAATATAAATGAATTGAAATGGAAAATTAGATAAAAATGTTAAGGTAGAAATGCTGGATACTTTTAGTTCATTCTGTTTATGCAGCAGATTATTTATCGGAAACGTTGCAAATTGTATTGGATTCGCTATGGATTTAGTTGTGGGAAAATAAAACTCTTTAAGTATTGAGATTGAGTATTATGTTTTGTAGTTGGATATATGTTGGATGTACTCTGTAGCGTACTTGTGGCTTCTGTTGAGGTTATTTATTGTGGTTTATTTGAAGGATAGTACAATGGGACAAAAAAAAGTATGTCAGGCTGCTCGTCTATGAAATTTAAACTTGAAACAAAGATCTCAAGAAAGGTATCAGAAAAGGAACCAGATCATTATGCAACAAAGTCTATTCAGCTCACTAAGCTATCAGTAAGTATCTAAGAACAAATATTAACCTTGAGTCAAGCACAAAGCTTTCAAACTACCAGAAACTTATAAATTATTCATCAGTTTAATCATGCACGCCTTTGATATCAACATAATATCCCATACCTTCCCATACTTATTTAATATTCCTAGAAATACAAAAATTAACTTCAACTCTCGCATTCTATAAAGTTAACCAAAAACTTTCCTCAATACAAAAATTGACAAGCTTATTCCCAAGGCTTTACTCTCTTATTGTATCCCGTATGCCAACAATGGCAATATCTATAAACTTTTACGATATCTCGTCGCACACAAAAAGACGGAAATGAAGGAAAATTTCGCAGCAATAGCACAGACACATATGCACATATTCTTTTACGATCATCATCAATATCCTTCAATAAATATCTTCGTCATATACATACTCAATTGACTGAGCTAACTCTGACAACTTTCTGGTATCCCTTATCAAAAAAATTCTTTATTTTTATACTTCTTAGTGGAGAATAAATGCACAAAATACGGTTTATTTTGATCTGATATGACAATGGTTCATCATAAATGATGTCAATCTAAAAGTCTATTGCATAGTCAGCATAAACAGACTGAGCAGGAGCTGCAAAAAAAGATCAAAGATTTCCATTTTTAACAGACATAATTTATGGATGACCCCTGATATCTCAGCAGAGACACATCTCCAAATTTATTATTTCCGTGCTGAGTGACAGAAAAGGGAAAGAAAAGTTGATGAAGAGATAAATATGCTGGTTTCACCTCATGATTATTTTATCAGTATTTTTCTTCCACATGATAATCTTTCGTCATTTACTGTATTTTATCCATTTTATCCATTTATAGCTCATTTTATGATTGATTTTTCATGGCTTTATATTTTCAATGTTGTTCTTCATAATCTCTGTATTTGATGGCTTTTCTTCTGAGAAAGGCATTCTTACAGATGTGTTTATTGATAACATTTTGTGTGAATGTTAAGGGGGGAAACAGCATGATGGGAAAAATTTGTTTTAAATCTGTAGAAAAACTTGGTAGAAAATTGACAGAACATTTGCTTTCTTGGTAGAAAATCCCCTACAAAACTTTTTCTCGTCAAGTTGTTCGTGGATATATGCCGTGCAACTTTATGATTTATACAGCTTGCTGATAAAAATATGCATGAAAGGCACAATTCAAAGAATATGCAATTAAATATGAACATGAAAAGCTATCAGATTTTCGTCTTTAACTAGAACTTTTGAGTAAAATAATTCTTATTAAAGATACTTCCAGCATCTAATGTATCCATTCAGAAAATTTTCATCATTACCACAACTTCACCTTCCAAGAAGATTAGCCACAAGCATAACAATAAACATTAAAACAATAAGAAGCTAGTTAGTAAACTGTTAAGGTCATCCGGTCATGAGGGAATAGAGCTTTTTATAGCAATTTTGGTATTATAGACACCTTGTGGATAAAATAAAGCTAATCAAAACATTACGAGATAATGATGGTGATGAAAATGTTGGCTTCAAGCTTGGTTTTTTTGGGTTTAAAGTTATTTATTTGATGAAGTTATTTTTGAGGGATTTAGAGAACTATTATATCATGAGATTTTTATGATGATAATAACTGTTACTGCTGAGAAACAAAGCATGAAGGTGAAAATATTAGATGCAAGTGAAAATTAAACTTTCAAGCACTAAACTTAATTTTTTGAACTGATGAGTTGGTTACGTCAAGTTAAACTAGTTTGTCAATAGCACAAGAGAACAAACGAACGTTTAGGTTGGAAAATAAAGCAAGTCTAGTCACATTTGTACAACAAACATCCTAAATCAGGCAAGCAAGAACCTTAAGAGCTGAGTCCAAGAATAATTGTTTTATTAAAGTTTCTCAACATCAGCATAAAGGTATCTACAGATAAATTCAATAAATTTCAAGATTTACAATCCAAAATTTCTGCTTGTAATTTAGACATTTAATAGCCATGACTCTAATATTTAATTCTTTTAAACACGAATGAACTTTTCATCAATGTGAGATCTATAAAATACTTCCTTATGTGTTCATGTCTATCAAGTCTTATGTGGTATGAATTAAAGATGTTTTGTCAATTTTTCTTTTAAAGTTCATGGAATTAATTAAGATCAAACATGACAAACGGAAGTGTGCATTAAATTATGCAAAAGCATGAAAGCATTTGACATTTAAAAATACACAAGTTTGAGGTTAAATTTATTGACACAGAAGACACAATAAAGCCTCTATTTATGAACTCGAACACTCAGCTTTAAATTTTCATTATTCAATTCCACAAAATTTGTTTAAGGTTAAATCTTCTCTCCCTTTTTTTACAACTGAAAGGTATTCATCTTGCCGTACAGCCTCGAGGAAATATTATCTGCAAACATGCCTCGCACAGATATCTGACAGGTTTCTCGAAAGCAATATTCCCAACAAAAAAGTGAGGAATAACAAGAATATCAACTTTATGTTCCAAAACTTTATTCAATGGATCGAATTTCCTTTCATTTTTTGCTTACTCTTGAAATCTAATCACGGTAAAATAAGAAGCTTTGTTGAGCTTTGAGCACTTTACATAATTTTCAAATAAAATCAAATGAATTTTCTTGAATGAATAAAA